GCTGTAAGAAATGGAGTACCATACGAAGATCCGGTGACAGAAGCAACCGGAGAATCAAATGGGAAACATTTCTTCGGTGGACGCGAGAGCGAAGTTTGCAAACAACATCGCACGACGGTTTGAACAGATCCCAGTGATGAAAACTGATGCTGAAACCGAATAGCAGCTGTTTAAGAGAGGCTTACTCGAGGCTGGCGCAGAATGCTGCGGATATAAACGGGTTGGCCTGCCGCCTGGAGGTCAGCAGAGATCTTCATGGTGGACACGAGAGGTACAACTGGCAGTTAAAGAGTAGAAAGCAGTGTTGAAGAAATGGCTTGGAAACAAGGAGCCATCTACACGCGTGCGATATGTCGAGGCACGCAAGGCGTCTGCTATAGCAGTTGCAAAAGACAAGACTTATTCCTGGGAGAAGTTCGGTAAGGCGTTGGAGTCGAATTTCCACACGGCAAACAAAGTATTCTGGCAGAACAGCCGCTGGCTCCGAGGTGAAAAGACGGACCGTCTCAGAGTCTTGAAGTACAGATCTGGACACCCTGTTATTAAGGATGAAGACATTCTTCAGCGATGGAGAGAGTACTCTGAGGAATTCCTTAACCCGGAGCAACCGCAGGAAGATTTGCCTGTAGAGCAGCAGGGAAGGGTTATTACTTCCTCAGTAGATGATATTATACAAGCTGTGAAATGACTGAAAGATGAAAAGGCTGCTGGAGTTGATGAAATCCGCCATGGAATGCTCAGGGCATATGCTGGCTTACACGCGTCTGTGATACTGCTATGATCACTGGGAAGACACCAGCTGAATGGAGAACGGAAGTTTTTGTACTCCTATTGTAGAAGGGAGACCATAGGGAGTGCTGTAATTTTAGGGGCATTGCGCTATTGAACCTCCCAGGTAAAGTATACAAAGTGGTGCTAGGAAAGAGGTACAGTGGAATAGCTGACTCGAACAAGAGCGGTGCGGCTTCCGGCCCATCTGAATTATATCTGACGAGATATTCGCCCTACGCCAGATTGTGGAGAAGTCGTGAGAGTTCGCCCATTAAGTTTATGTGTTTTATTGGCCTAGAGAAAACCTATTAACGGGACCTGCGCGGCAGTCTATGGTCATTACTGCGAACATAAGAGATCGATCGCCGGTTGCTCCTGTCGATGAAATCGTTATATTCTGATAGCAGGTACTTCAGAGTAAATGGAGGTTAAGTCGAAGCTTTTCAGCATTGGCACTGGTCTTCCCTAAGGCTGCGTCATGCCTCCTGTCCTGTTTGTGTTGTACATGGATAGAATAGTAAGGAGCAGCCAAGGCTCCGAGGGTATCGGTGTAGGAGATATTTAGACGAGAAGGTTGCTGTTTGCAGAGGACCTTGTTTTATTGGCATCTTCTGAGACTGAACTACGGCGCTCTCTGGAAAGTTTGCGGTCGAGTGTGACGTGGCCAGCAATCGTGCGAAACGAATTGAAAGGTATAGTACCATCTGGTCATCCATCCCATTGCTCACTTCAGAGAAACGATGAAGCATGGAACTGGTAAATAAATTCAAGTACCACGAAGTCATGTC